TTAGTCTGTTGCTGATGGAGGAAGGACGGCCATGTCATTTAATGTGATTGGGAGGCTGGTTATGTTCTTTGCTTTAAAAAACATTTACAATATGGGATTCCTCTACTTGAGGTGCAGCGAGCATACTTTTGTTGAAGTACTGCATGTTCAGAGATCAGTAACGCATTTCCGTATCCAGTGAACCGGGTGCGTAGGGATTTGCTAGATGTTGACATAAAATACAGCACATCCAAACAAACCTCGTGGGTCCTTGTTGAAGTAACGAGACTAATGTTTTAATGCAACAGTTTTGGAGGAACCGGTCCAATGAATCACACACCATTACATGCCACATATGCAGATCGTATCTCAGGTTCTCGGCCTCACTGGGAATGCTAATCTTGTTCTTTGAGAAGCAGCGCATATCTGCTGAGGTCTTAGCATGTAGCAGCCTGTCGACTTGTCTCGGGGCGAACCTGTCAGTCCGTCCTTTGTCAGCCGATTCATTACAGCCACCTGTGTCAATGTGCTCTTTGCTGAAGGTAATTGACCTTTTTCAGACGTCTTAATTTACAGGAGTTTCACTCTCTTCCTTTGTCTGATATTCAGTAGAGTCAGCGCAGGGATGAGGAAGCCAAAGGCACCGGCTGAGAATGTGTGTAGATGTTTGTTTATGAACAGATTAGGAGGCTTGAGGACCATTCGCCGGAGGAGACGGGATAGAAGTGTCTCTCTGGGCCTTGGTGGCATGCAGGGTGGTTTAGGATGCTGACTGACTGTTATTAAACATAGAAATACAGTAAGTCAGTAAGAAGCATCCTGAGAGGAGCAGAGCAGAGCCATGATGACATATGCTGCACATATGGATGATTAAAGGTTCACAAGCTGCAGTTTGAGCTTTTCCTAATTGCAGACCTTCCAGTTAACACTGCACCACTGCACCTCACCGAGCAGTGGCGTTACCTCACACCTCCTGGACTGGAGATTCGAATCCTGAAGAGTGACAGGGTGCACTCTGCTGCCTGGGAACATCCTGGGGTACCCCCCCCCCACCCCACCCCACACCTTAAAAAGGATGGAAGAAAAATGAGCTATAACGCAAAAAAACCACAGTTAATGACCATGGTACATGACAGACATGGCTATTGTACTCACCTGCACCCTAAGGAAAGTTGCTTAATTAAACTGCGGGAATTGTCTTTAATTAATACTCTGGAAAAAAAACTGGAGAAATGAATCATGTAAAGGAAACAGTTCAGTACAGGTAGGCAAATATGCCGAATAAAACCCAGAGCAAAACAATGAGGAGTAAATTTCTGACTGAACTGCCTGATTTCTGTAGTTTTATAAGAATCAGAACCAGAATTTGCATTATTGGACAGGTACAAGTGCATGTACTGGGAATGTGTTCTGGTAGTGTTGGTGCTTACATTCACAGATAACATAGAAGAGCAAAGAACATAAATTAAGAAAAACAGATAAGTAAAATAATAAAATAAAATAATAAAGGAATAAAATAGTGCAGAGCAGGGCGTGCTATGTGATATATTAACAATAATTATAAGGACATTAAAGGAAATGGAGGTATATTGAATACTGAAATATCCATCCATCCATTATCTATACCGCTTCATCCATCAGGGTCACAGGGAAGCTGGAGCCAATCCCAGCATCATCGGGCGAGAGGCGGGGTCCACCCTGGGCAGGCCGCCAGTCCACCACAGATACTGAAATATAAAACTATGAAAATATATAATGTCCAATAGATGACAAAGATGTGGAAAGATGCGTGTAGAGTGAGTGGGGGGGGGGGTGACTTGGCAGTTGATGGCAGAGCTGCTGAGCTGATGGCACTCAGGAAGGCGCGGCGTTTGGAGCAGTGGAGTGGAG